TTTTTGTAGCATAATGTAGGAAATCAACACTTTAATTGACACAACCAATAAAATCTTTAGAATCAGCTGTGGGGTTTGCACTGAAGTGGATTGGGGGAAAAAATTGTGCATGCATGTCATGTGCCTGTCTGTCAATGGGAGGAAGCCACGCCCTATTTTGGAGCTCCCACCCCGTTTTGGAGCTCCCGCCCCCATTTGGAGATCTCCAGGCTGCAGTTATACCCTTCTCTCCACAGCTAGAGAGCATGTTAATTCAAAGTTATGTCTTTCTCTGCCACTAGGTGGCTCGAGTATAGGATCTGCCATTGTTTATCAATAGAAGCGTCACTTTGGTCTTAATTTTCGGTAGCAGAATAATAGCGAAATTGTATCTAATTCCCTAATTTAAAATTTCCCTGATCTGCAGTGTAATCACTTATGTTCGTGGTTTCATGCATTTGATCACACTACTTTAAGTTTAAGTTAAGCAATTGGCGGGACATTGTAAAACACTACAACAATCGCTAGTGATATGTTACTCCGGATAAGTACTCACTTGCAAAGAGCCACACTGAAATAGAACAGGCTTAGTGAGTTCTCAAGCGCTCCGATGATGTTCAGTCTCAGCTCGCCGATTTTATCAGTAGATGTTTAAGACGAGCATGTGGTTGTCAACCAATGAAACCATTGCAGTTTCGGGAAAAATTTTGTTCAGCAGCCAATTAAACAATAGCGTGTGAAACATTTTGTCCAACAGCAAATGAAACGATAGCGTCTGAAACATTTTGTTCATCAGCCAATAAAACGATGGTGTCCGAAACATTTTCTCAATCTTCAAAAAGCAGCAATAATTGTATGAAAAATCCGCGAAACTTTTGCAACATCTTTATATAATCCCACTTTTTTCTCTTCGAAAACGATTGTAGTTAAGAACTGTAATGTTTACATTTCAGGTAAGATTACTAATAGCTGATCAGCCAAAAATGGAGATACACCAATTCAATACACACAATTTCTCACATATAACTCTAATGTTAATAAAAAATATTACCTGAAAAATGTGTTTGGGTATCTGCACAAGAAACCTTAGGAGTATCTCAAGTTAATATCAGATCGCAACACTCATTAGATATGTTAGATGCATAAAACTAAAATTTAATATTATTCACACAAGACCATTCTAAAATATTCTTTCCAGTATTTAGCACAAACGTGAAATATAAAAACCTTTTGTTATTCAATTAAAAGCTTTGTTAGATTACACATTTCAGGTTGTACCTTACCTCTGCAAAGCGGACAAATCTTTTACACACGTTCATTAACTTAAAGCTTATTTTAATAAAAAGCTATGTAAAGTTCTTGCAAATGTGTCCCTGCCACAAACTCAAAATAACTGTGATAAGAAGACACTCAGAAACTTTTTTGCATGTCCATTAAGCCAGAATAATTTTTATTGAACACAGAAATTAAATTTTTTTTTTAGCCTTTTTTGTCATACTTTTTTTCTATTTTTCTTTTTTTTTTCTTTTTTTTTTTTAAATAAACAAAACCAGAACAAACTTAACACTGTGGACAGCAAAAGGACATTTGCAGTGTGCAAGCCATGCATTAAATAGCATAACTCTGAAGTGCTGTTTTCTTTTCCTTGTTCTCTGGAACAACCCTCACAGACCTTCAGTGAGCATGCCTGTAAAATTGAAATAAAATCGGTCAACATTTGTGTGCGACACTCGTATGCACTACTAAAAATTGGCCTTGTATGATTAAGACCAAATATTGCGACAAAAAAAATGCTCGTAGATTACCTGCCTTACAAAGCTCCCTCACTTTGCCGACAGTTCCTTGGCTTGATGAGCCTGAAGCACCGATACAGCCTCTTCAACCTAAACAGTGCAGAAAAGTGCAATGATCAAACAAAATCTGATCTTTGAGACTAAATGTGGAGTACATGTTTTGAGCAGGTGAACCTTGGAGTGCAGGGACTCTGGAGACTCGAGCATGTGCAGTAGTTCAGAGTTGTCAATCTCCAGCAGCATGCCTGTAATCTTTCCCGCAAGAGTCGGATGCAAGGCCTGGATAAGTGGATACAGCCGCTCACCTGTATAGGATGCAAACAGTTTGGTCATTTTACTCATGTTACGAACTAGTACATAGATTGTGTGCTATATTCCAAGTCTTCTGAAGCCATATGATAACTACCTGCTACTTTACACTAAATAGACACTGTAAAGTTTCGACAACTGTAGTTTTTTTTCAGTACTTCACTGTAAAGCGGAATTCACAAAGAATTTCTCACTGGATAAATATAACAGTACTACAGTGAAAAGTCGTTTATTAACAGTTAACCGTACTATTCTAGTAGTGCCCTCTACTGAGCAGTATTGTTCATTCAGGTTTAGGATACAGGTGATATAAAATGATTCAAGCTGCTCACATCTTTAAACCTTTAAGTGATCGTGTGTGCACGTTTCGTACCCAGGAGTTGTTTCTGCTCTTTTAAGGGTGCAGCTGCCAGCATTGAGGCAGTAAGGGGCTCCTGGCCTCTCACATGAACCGCCGGCTCTGTATTCGGTACTACCTAAAAAACAGTAAAAGAAAGACTGCTGTATTTTTCTATTTAATGCTCAAATGGCAAATGCCAAAACAAATGAACTTTATGAAGTTGTCCTTAGTTTGAAGGTTTTTTTTGTTGCTTTTCTGTTGACAATTTTTACAGTGTTCTTGTATTTACAGAGACAGTCAGCAAAGTTCACACTGCGAGAGGGGGGTAAACTGGGGCCTCTGGACTGTGTTGTACTGGGATGCTGCTACATCATAAATCAATGGTGAATAAAATGCCTCCACACTGTCAATTCACAAAGTTTGATATGCGTGCATGTTTTAGGCACTTTACGTACATCAAAAATACTTTTTTTAAAATCCAGCTTAATCTTAATTACATATATGGGAATATACTGCAAAATATAATGTGATATATTACATAATACATTTCCATATATTGGAAACTATTGCTCTCGTTTTGCAATATACAGCAATATATGCATATATTGTGACATAGAAGTAAATATTGTGCTATGGTCTTCTTTATTATCTATAGGTTGTCCTGCGATAGGGAGGTTGTCAGATTGATGCGGGGGCGCACGCTGGGGAACAGTGCCACAGCTCTGTACAGGCACCTGTGCCTCAGGCATAAAGAACATTTCCTGGGCCAGTCAACGATGTACCTGTCTGTGCTGAGGAATTTTGTGACCCAGAACACTGATCCCAGCAGTCTCATTGCCCCGCTGCCACCGTGGCTCAACATCCTTGGAGTCCTTCCACCTGCACCTAAACCGCTTTGTGCCAGGTATGCATTTTTCCTAAACAATGCGAGTTGTTTGTTCATGTGTTTTCCATGGTGCTAACTTCTTTCTGCCTGCTTTTTTAGGAACAAGTGCAAGTGACATTCATTTTCAGATGTACCTGATGGAAGGGCTTGTACAATGGAATGAGGCTCGTGCGGTTGCTGCCGTTGAAGGTGGCAGCAGAAATGATATCTGCTATGGTGGCCAACTGCAGCAGTACGCAAACATCCTGAGCCAGCTATTTATGGGCCTTAATTTGGCGGAGGACTACACCAGCCCTGGCGAATACACAGGTAACATGTTTGTGCACACAGGACACTTTTGTGTAGTAGCTGTGACACCTGTATTTCACCCATGCGCTCATCACACTTTGAATGTCTACAGGTGAACTCATTGGTGTGGAATACTTGTATTCCCAAACAAGTAAAGCTTTTGAGGAAGACTTCGGTGCGGATCCCGATACTCCAGATGGGATTCAGGATGAAGACCTGAAGAGTGATCTGGAGAGTGATGAGGGGTTTGAGGATGTGGAGTTGGATGGTGAGCCCCTTGAAATCATTGAGCTCAGCTTCGATCCCCCAGAACCCATTCAGCAGCAGGCAGAGGCCATACAACCTCCTGGTCCGTCATCAGATACAGCAGAGTCTTCCTTGCCTGAGCCCATGGAAGATGAGCCAGCCACTCAGAGCCAGGTGACTAAATTACCCTATAGGCATTAACACTGTGATGATGATCTTTTATTTTGAAGTAGAAGTTACTTCATTACCTTACTTTTAGATGTTTGAAAGTGATATGACAGAATAAGCATGATAACACTTAAGAGAGTGTAATAATTTACTTTAATGCACAGATGGAGAGCCTGGGACCAGATGGCAGACCTGGCTATGACCACGTCGTCAGGTTAGCCAACAGTCTGGTGGACCTCAGGCATGAGGGGTTCATTACACAGCAGAAGGTGGAGGAGATTGTGACTCTCTGGGATAAACTGTCAGAGTTTGACAAGGGCGCTCTCATCTACCCAGCTCGCCACCGCGACAGGCTGGTGAAGGGGCGCTTCAAAGTCAGTCATTCTGTGACGAATGTGACCCCTGGAGCTGACAGTTTGAAGCGGTATGTTTGCCAATCAGTTTGTATAATTTGTATTTCATATATTCATCAAATAATCTACTTAACATGAAATTTTTTTTTTTTCCACAGCTGCTTCCTTGGTGAAGGCAGTGGACCTGCTCAGTGGCCCAATGCCAGCCGTCTTGTGGAGGCAGTCTGCCTGGCTCTGTGCAGAATTTACCCCGCTGGTCAGACAGTGGCTGGTGTCAAGGTAAACAGGTGGGCTGTCATTCTGCGTGACTACAGGATGATAACAGATGTAGTCCTGGACAGCCCCAGACTCATGGCTGAAACAAGGTTGCAGCTGTTTGAGTTAAATCAGCACACTCTTTCACAATGGTAGGTTCAGTAATTAATTGTTCATGCACAATTGTTGTCATATACCACCCTTCTCTGCACGTGTACTAATTGTTATATTGTCTTTACATAGGCACAATGCACGGAAAAGGAGGCAGGAAAGGGAGGTCTTGGAGCAGAGCATTCAGACCTTTACCACTCCCTTGGTGGCCTCTGAACCCCTCCCACCTGTGCTGTATAAGCATCCGGAACCGGTCCGGCATGGGCACCAAGCCTATGAGTTCATCATTCCGGCGGATGCATCAGGACAGGCAGTACAGCGTGTTCGAGGCCAACCTCCTCCAGTGGGCTCAGCGTCAGCAGCTGTTGCCATGCCTGCTGCAGCACAGCATGCCCAAGGACAGCCTCCTCCAGTCCAGGTGGGCTTTGCGGTCCCTGACCCTGCCCACTTGCTTCAAGCTACAGCCACTGCAGCTATTGCTGTACCTGCTGCTACACCTCCCGGTCCAAAGGTGCCAAGGACCACAGCTTGGCGGCGGAGGAAGGCAGCGGAGGCAGCTGCAGCACAAGGTGCAACACCCAAAAAGAGACAACAGACTGAACAATACGTTTGCCAAAAGTGTGGCCAACCAAAGACAAAGGAGTTTGGCCACAGTCGGTTCCGAGGTGCCCACTTTTGTGCCAAGGCATCTGGAAAAACTGTGGAGCAGTGGATAGAGGAGATGAGAAGGGGACAAAAATAAGTTATATATTGCATAATACGTATATACTGTTACATCACACTAAAGGAGGTAGAGCTTTTTCGCATTTGGCTCCCAAACTTTGGAATAGCCTTCCTGATAACGTTCGGGGTTCAGACACACTCTCTCTGTTTAAATTATGTCTCTATTTGTTTCTCTGTTTTTTGCCACGGGACTGACATCCCGTGGTAATCTAGGATCTACACAAGCTTCAGTCTGGATCCAGAACACCTGAGAAGAGATGATGCCAACCCCTCAGAGGACCTCAGATGATGCCAACCCTGAAACAACATACAGAACTACCACATTTTGCTATAAGTTTGATTGCATCATATAATAATTGCTGTTAATAGTGTTCATCGTCTGTTTGAATACATCTTTAATTGATTTTTCCACACATTTCTGCCATATGTGCATTAACTGACTACAACTAGATGAGCCCCAGAGACAGATCCCCAGTGAGGACCTTGTCTCCTAGACGGCCACCGGGACAATACCACAGGAACCAGATGAGTCCTCTCACAATGTGACTTGAATTGAACTGCTGGTTTGTCTGGTCAGAGGAGAACTGGCCCCCCGACTGAGCCTGGTGTCTCCCAAGGTTTTTTCTCCATTCTGTCACCGATGGAGTTTTGGTTCCTTGCCGCTGTCGCCTCTGGCTTGCTTAGTTGGGGACACTTAATTTCCAGCGATATCGTCGACATGATTGCAAAGATCATAGTTGAAGAGTTTTATATAGTTTGAGTGTTTATATTGTCGTTTCTTTATATATTTAATGTTAATAAAGATTGCCCTTTTCTCATTATATGTCTGTTTTATTAGATATTCATATTTATTGTGCATTTTGGAATCCCTACAGTATACCTATAGTAAACTGTCAGATGACTTAAAAATACTATTAAATATATACATCTTACTTTAAAAGTTAATTTATTTAAAAGAACATTGAAGCACTCACATTCAAGAATAATATTAAAGCACTTATACTGCTTTAAAAATTTACATATGGTTATATATTTTTTTTTAAGATTGATAAAACAATTAGGATTAGTATGAAAGCATGTTTACAAAAACAATAAACTGCCTCATAAATTTCATGTAATTATACTATTTAAATATAACAATGCTATTTAAATATAATGTTATAGATATTTGAAATATATGCAATTTTATTATATTTTTTAAATATTTTAGTAATTTTTTTAAATTTAAAATATAAGTGTCCTGAATGCCATTGATACATATGATATAAACAATACATTAGGTAATTGAAGAATTCAATTAAATAAAAACTAAAATTTGAAAAATTATTGTAAATAAAAATTCTGTAAATGTTAAATATAAATACAATAATAGTACATATATTAATCAATAATAATATCAATAATATTAATAAAAATATCAATAAAAGTGTGTTTATGTTTACATATCTGCTCTAGTAGCCTTAGGAGTATCTCAAGTTAATAGCAGACCACAGCACTCAGTTTAATTCAGCAGATATTCTCAGTGAAATTTAACAACTGAAATTGTTAAATTGTATTCATGCAAAACCATGATAAAACCTTGATATTCAGCATTCAGCACAAACATTAACAAATATTAACCATACATTATACAATTAAAAGCTTTCTGTGCTGGATTGTACAGCTCAGGTTGTGCTTATGTTTAGCACCACAAAACTGAAAAATCTATTACACACGTTTATTAACTTAAAGCTTATTTTAATAAAAGCTCTGTAAAGTCCTTGCAAATGTGTCCCTGCCACAAACTCAAAATCACTGTAATAAGAATAAGACTATCAAAAACTCTTTTTGCATGTCCATTAAGCCAGGATCATTTTTATTGCACACAGAAATTTCAAAAAATATTTTTTTGCCTTTTTTTTGTCATTTTACTTTTAATTTTTTTTAAATAAACAAAATCAGAACAAACGTAACACTGTGGAGAGCAAAGGACATTTAATAGCATGCATTAAATAGCATGACTCTGAAGTGCCGTTTTCTTTTCCCCCGTTCTCTGGAACAACCCTCACAGACCTTCAGTGAGCATGCCTGCAAAAATTAAACAAAGTTGGTCAGCATTTGTGTGTGACAGTTGCATGCGTTATTAATTGGCATTGTACACGTTTAAGGCCAAATATTAAGATAGAAGAATGCAAGTAGATTACCTGCCTTACAAGCTCCCTCACTTTGCCGACAGTTCCTTGGCTTGATGAGCCTGAAGCACCGCTACAGCCTCTTCGACCTAAACAGTGCAGAAAAGTGCAATGATCAAACAAAATCTGATTTTGAAACTAAATGTGGAGTACATGTTTTGAGCAGGTGAACCTTGGAGTGCAGGGACTCTGGAGACTCGAGCATGTGCAGTAGTTCAGAGTTATCAATCTCCAGCAGCATGCCTGTAATCTTTCCCGCAAGAGTCGGATGCAAGGCCTGGATAAGTGGATACAGCCGCTCACCTGTATGGGATGCAAACAGTTTGGTCATTTTACTCATGTTACGAAGTAGAACATAGATTGTGTGCTATATTCCAAGCCTTCTGAAGCCATATGATAACTATATGCTGCTTTACACTAAATAGACACTGTAAAGTGTCGGCACTACACCCTCTACTGAAGAGTATTGTTAATTTAGGTTACCATCACTGGTTTAAGAAGCAGGTGGTATAACATGATTCAAACTGCTCACAACTTTAACTTTTAAGTGACCGTGTGTGTGCATTCCATACCCAGGAGTTGTTTCTGCTCTTTTAAGGGTGCAGCTGCCAGCATTGAGGCAGTAAGGGGCTCCTGGCCTCTCACATGAACCGCCGGCTCTGTATTCGGTACTACCTAAAAAACAGTAAAAGAAAGACTGTTATATTTCTCTATTTAAATGCTCTTAAGTGTCATCACATTGCCATGGTCTGAAACTAGTGCATGAAGTTGTCATTAGTTTTTGTGGCTTTTCTGTTGATAAAAGATTGATAAAACTAACATTTAGGATTAGTATGAAAGCAGTTTTACAAAAACAATAAACTGCCTCATAAATTTAAATAAATTTCATGCAATTAAACTATTTAAATATAACAATACTTTTTAAATATAATGTAATAGATATTTGAAATATATTCATTTTATTATATATTTTTAATATTTTAGAATTTAATTTAAAATATAAGTGTCTTGAATGCCATTGATGCATATGGTATAAACAAAACATTTGAGGTAATTGACAGAATTCAATTAAATAAAAAAATCATTGTAAAAATTATATTGTAAATAAAAAATTATACAATTGAGTAATTTTAGACTTATACAAATATTTTAATATTTGAGGCTATTTATTCAGACCATTCAAGTAAAATATAATAACATTTTCTGATTTAAATCACATTATATTCTGACAGCAGCCTGCAGCTCACTTCTTAAGCACATGGCTACTTAATATGCATATGTCATGCCCCAGTAGCACATGGCTACCTAACGTTACTTACTATGCACCCTTCTTGACCCGCCTTCTAGACCCGCCTACTGAATTGTTCTAATTTTGGTGATTTCTTTATTTTTAGCAGCATGAGCACCTTACAACCCCACAGGTGGCCCCATTGGAGTTTTGAGGTCACTACCATGAAGTTCAAGGTCATGGAATGCTCCCAGGTGTGCCAGGGGCCCCAGAGGGGCTACAGAGAAGATCCGTCAGGTTCCTTTGCGCAGGGGCCATGCTAATCTTCTCTGTATCGTTCCAATTTTAGTATATGTGCTGCCGAAGCAAGCACGAACAAGTGGTCTAGACGTCTGGTATATATAGCAGTGTCTCCGGGAAAGTCTTCTCGAAGGTGGTGAGTGGTTAAACCATGATTTAGTCATTTACCAGGACAATACAAGCACATTTGATGTACTGCAACATACAGATGTCAGTATTCACACTCATTTCTGATCCTTTAAACTATATATTTGGTGTAATTTATGTTTTTCTGCCAAGAAACAGGCAAGCATGCGGATCAGGCGGCCCTCTAGCCAGTAGGATTGGCTCTCAGTGCTGACGCATTCAGGTCATGCGATCCGTTCTCCTCCCCCAGCACTGCAGCTCCCAACCCCCAACGTCAGGACTGTTCTCGTGACTCCTGTGAGACCATTACACCAGAAGCCGAAGCATCCAAGGGCCTTTGTTTTATATTTAACTTCTTTTGTAAATTTAGAGTCTACAGTGCCTCCATCTGCCACAAGAGGGATCTCCTCATCTGCAAAAACAAATGTTTTATAGCCCCGAGTTATAGCACAATTCACTTAATTCAATAAATAAAAAAATAAAAATTTTTTTTAAAAAAGCGCACAAGTGTACATTAGCAAGGTCTTTCACTGAATCCTTAATGTGAACCTACTTTTATTTGAATGTTATGAAATCTACACATTACTACAGTGAAACAAAGACAGTTTTGTCAAAAGGAAAGTGAGCTAATATGTTAGCCTTTTGTCACTGTTCATGTTCCCCAGCTCCACACAATCCTCATCCACATTACATCTGCTTCCCTCACTCTCTCAAGACCATTACATACAGAGGCAGACAAAAGATAATCCACAAATCTACAGAAATATGATTTGAGGTTCCTAGAAGCAGTGCAAAACTTGATAGTTTGCATTTGGCTGTTATAGTTTTAGCTGTAATGTCTCAGTTCACCTCTAGAGGGTCTCAAGTATAAGCTATGGGTTTCTCCCTGGTTTCTCCACAGCTAGAGAGCATGTTAATTCAAAGTTGTGTCTTTCTCTGCCACTAGGTGGCTCTCGAGTATAGGATATGCCATTGTTTATCAATAAAAGGTCACTTCGGTGTTAAGTTTCAGTATTTTACTGCATAAGCAGATAAATAGCGAATTTGAATCTTATTCCTTAATTTAAACTTTACCTATTCTGCCAGCCTGTTGCACTTATTAGCACAAATGAAGTCTTATTGGTGGTTTAATGCATTTGATCAGTCATAAGCCTAAGAGGGAGGTGCTTGCGGTTCGCTGGGCTGTTTGCGTTCTTCGGGACATTCTAACGTGGCTTCATGTATCACAGTCTTAATACATCACCGAATTCTATATGCACCTTATTGATGATGCATACTATATACACACAAAAGCAGATGCTCCCAGAATACGATCGAAACGCGATAAATTGCACGTTACACGTTTCCCCGTAGAAACCACTAGAAAGATAGTACTCCGTGCGGCTTAATTTATTAAGAAATTGATATGGAGGCACCAGACCAGAGATCTGCATAAAGTTCTTCATGGGCAGGGGTTCAAGTGTAAAGCATCTATCACGGAGTAATTCCAATACAGCAGTTGCTAGTAATAAGTACTCGCTTGGAAAGAGCTGCATTGAAAATGGAGCAGCTTTACTCAGCGAGTTCTCACGTGCTCCGAGTCTGATGATGCTCAGACTCCAATTGGCTTCTATCAGTCAGGAGACGTTTATTACGAGCACGTGGTTGTAAACCAATGAAACCATGGGAGTTTCGGGAAACATTTTGCCCAGCAGCCAATTCTTCTTCTTCTTCTAATAACGTTTTATGGCGAATGGCAAACCAACTTCTGGTGCATTTACCAGCAGCCAATTAAACGATGGCGTCTGAAACATTTTGTCCAGCAACCAATGAAACCTGACACTCACTGACACGCCCCTAACTTGGAAACGGAGCTTAAAGAAAATTCTGGGTTTCCCACTCTTAAAGGGGTCATATGATGCGATTTAAATTTTTCCTTTCTCTATGGAGTGTTACAAGCTCTTGGTGCATAAAGTTTTTTTTTTAAATACAAACACCTTTAGACACAAATGTTTTTTGTATTTTTGTGAGGACTTTCTGCTGACATTGTTTTTATACTTTGTTAAACACACACAAAGCCTTACCCATTCGCTGGGTGTTGTTAACAATGTGAGGAACCTGAGTGGATGCCTGGCGGACTGTGCTGATGATGGTGGAGGGTCTGCGGGGCACCGCTTGTCTCACAAACTGAGCTGTGAATGGAGCTAGTGCAGCCAACAACAGAAATTAACTCATCCAAATACAAAAACACACAGAGGGGTTAAAAAAAAAAAAAAAAAATTTTTAAAAAAGAAGTGTATTTGAATGATATTAATGAGATGATATTAGTGACTTTACCTTGAGTCCTAGGAGCTTGAGTTGTCCAGCGTGGCGCAGGCCGCAGGTTTGGTACGGTGTTGTAAAAAGAGCGAACCTGATGCTAGAAATGCAGATATGCATGCAAGTTCACACAGCAGAAGTAATGCAGATAATGCAATCGTCATACAAAACCACACATGCATATAAACCCTTCCACCCACTTGCGGCACAGAGGTCATGTAGTAGCCGGAGCTCTGCTGGTAGGTGGTGGGTATGGCAGGGCTGGGAATGGCTCGAATGCTGGCTAGTCTCTGCATGTATTGATTGGTGAGGATTGCCTTTCGCTCCTCTTTTCTCTGGGCAAGAGCCACGTATAGTGGTTTAGTGCTAACGATACGGCCATTCATCTCAGTCACTGCCTTAGTGGCCTCTTCGGGAGAGGAAAAACACACAAAGCCAAAGCCTCTACTGTGGCCTCCATCGGTCATCACCTATCCCAAAATACAAAAAAATAAGCAGCAAGACTTTATTCAATTTATCTCACCATAAGATTGCACAAACAAATGTGAGAACGTCCATTTTTGTCAATAAGAACTACCATTTTCATGTAATATATTTTTAGGCAAAACCAGCATTATTTTAGTATCATTCAGATTTATCAGTATTTTTACATTTGTATTTATTTTCAGATTTAGTACAAAAAAAAAAGTTTTTAAAGTAGTTTATATTCACTTTAATTTCAGTTTAATTTTGATTACATACATTTTAGGTTTAATTTTATTTCAAGTAACTAAAGTTTATGGTTTTAGTTTAAGGTAATGATAATAATCATGGGTGAAACAGGTTCTCTAATGAGAGGGGGGGAAAAAGGGGAGTTTATTAAATATGAATGGGTTGGATGGTGAAAAGTGTGTTACAATGTAGCTAAAAAAAAATGGCTAAAGGTTTGCTAAAATAATGGCTAAATAGCTATTTGAAAATGTAATTTTTCCAAATTAATACAAAATTTCAGATTTTCCAACATAAAAATGTGACCCAAATGAATTTTATAAAAGTTATATATTTTTTTATTTTATGATGACCCTAAAGCAGAAAAGAGAATTGTGACAACACAACTGACGTCACACACTCGTAACTAATGTTTATAATGTCTGACTATCGCAAATAATTCCTGATTTTACAAATTTTATATTATACTCCTATCAAACTTGTGAATCATTTTTTATTATATTTTCTAGTTTGTTGTCCTGTTAGCATTCCCGTTATTTATTAAGTTGTGTATTCTGTTGCACTTTACATTACCTTTGCACTGGTGATGGTTCCATAAGGAGCAAACTCTTTCCTCAGCTTCTCATCATCAATGCTGTCATCTAGATTTTTTACATAGAGATTTACTCCCTAAAATCAAAGAAACAATGCATGCATTACAACATTCCTGAAAAATCAACATACAGTTGAGCATATGCAAATCCTTCTCAGATGATTAGGATGATACTGAATTTTGGCCGTGCTTGCAGATTTATACAAGTTGCCATACAGGTAAGCAGAGTTAGGTATAATGCGTTACACAGTAACGCGTTAATGTATTCCATTTACTTTTCCTGGTAACGCAGTAATGTAATGCGTTACATTTTAAATGTAATTGGATTACAGTTACTAATGTCAATAAAATTACGTTACTTAAGTTACAAATGCAGTGTTAAAAATGTGAAGTAAAAATCATGTTTTGCGCGTCAGTATGCCCTTTAATAGATCACCGGAGATTGCGAGCTAAAATGCAGACGAGTCCTACAACATTTAGATGCAATGAAAGGTTGCCTATCATATTTCAAAATGTTGCATTCGATTTCACATTTTAGTCTGGCATTATAGTTTGGGAAAAGTTCAACAAGTGAACGTGTACAAGTTTGTCACAGCAACACTAATATTAGTAAAAATAAATGACTCATCAGAAAGAGATCCTTTGCTGGATTAAGCCGCGTTGCATCGCATTCTTCTTCTGAGGTAAATTCAAGGCTTATTCCTCACAGCGCATCTTCTTCCAAAAACGAAAAGTAGCCGAGATGAACTTGAATCTTTCTTTGTTTACGGAGGTGAAGTGGACATTTACATGTATGCGCGTCTCAAGCCTGGTTTGGCATGGATGTTTATCTTTAGCGCACGATGTGCGTCGGTGTGATCACATTATAGGTGAGCTCAGACGGGAAAGACTGTGGCCCTGTCCACACGAACGCGGTTATTTTTAAAACCGCAGCTTTTTCTACGCGGTTAGGCTGTTCGTCCACACGCAAACGCAGCACCAGGTCACTGAAACCAAACATTTTTGAAAACGCCTGCCAGGGTGAAGATTTTCAAAAACTCTGGTTGCAGTGTTATCGTGTAGACAGCGAAACCGAAGTTTTTGGCTTCTGACGTCAGCGCCTGCGCTGTTATCTTCGCCTAGTGGAGACTTTTTCAGGCTTCTGATTGGCCAACATGGCTTTACGGTTGAGATTATATCGCCACCTGTTGGTTTGGCATGCTCTTGACAGTGCTTCATAGCATGCATTTACGTTTTCATGTTGATGGAGATTTTTTTAAAAACGGAAGGAAAAACTTTACGTTTATAAAAGTACCAGTGTACGTGTGGACATGGCCTGTACCTCGCGTTGGTTCCAGTGCTTCATAGCATGCATTTACGTTTTCATGTTGATGGAGATTTTTTTAAAAACGGAAGGAAAAACTTCACGTTTATAAAAGTACCAGTGTACGTGTGGACATGGCCTGTACCTCGCGTTGGTTTCACACGGATTATTTTATCAGAGAATATTTGTTTTCGACATGACTTAATTTTAAAAATAGACACTTCAAGCTTTCTTTAGATGTATCTCATGTCATTTTCGTTCATTTTAGTGACTTGTTTAAGGGAGATGTTTGTGGAGACTGAGAATGCAGAAAGCACACCCTATTTGTTTTCTTTATTTTACAAAAGCGAAAAAAAAAAGAAAAAAAAGTTGATATTGCGAGTGTATACATATGTAATTTTTCAGTCAATATTAAATTAAAGAACTGAGTTTCACTTTGTAGTGTATTTTTTAGGTTTGATAACTTGAAAAGTAAAGTAAACTTGAAAGTAACTTTAATTAGCCTACTTTTTAAATGCAGTAATCAGTAATGTAATCAAATTACATTTTTAAAGTAGTAATTTATAGTGGATTACTTTTTTTGAGTAACTTACCCAACACTGCAGGTTAGCATATGTGCATGTACCTGGTAGCGTTGTATGCGCTCCTGCTTTATTTGCTCAAACTTGCGCTTGAGTTCTCCCTGCCTCTCCAGTCTTTTCTGAGCTCTGCCCACATAAAGGACTCTGCCATTCAGCTCTTCTCCGTTCATTTCAGTTACTGCCTACCACAGAGAGAAAAGACTTCAGTCTCCATATCTACTCGCACATACTGCACAATTTGTTTTCTTACCCTCCTGGCATCTCCGTGGTTTTCAAAGTTGACGAATCCAAAGCCACGAGAGCATCCCCTTTCATCAGTCATCACACACACGCTAAGGGTCTTACCTGTGAACCAGAGGCAGCTTTAAAAGAAGCAAAATCAATACTCCTAATGAAAAGTGCTTGCTGATGAATTATAGATCTTAAATCAAAGTTTAAAACCCCCTGCTGATACTTTTAGTGCATTTGCATATTTAACACTATTTCCAATGAATGTCTTTAGAGGAAAAAAAATAAATAAAAATCATTCCTATATGAACCTGCTTACCAAATTCAGAGAAGATGCCCTTCAGTTTCTCACTGTCAATATCTTCACCGAAGTTCTTAATATACACATTGGTGAACTCCATGGCTTTAGCTCCCAACGCTGCCTCACGCTCCTTACGAGACTTAAAATGCCCTACAAAACTGCAAGTGCCGATTAAAGTTTATTTACTTTTGTGCATAGCAATACTGAGATTGAATTATTGCAGAAAGTACATCAAAAGAAACTTGCAAGAAAAAGCAAATACAAAATACTCAAGAAATATAAAAACCTATTCAAAACGTATTCAATACTATACCAAATAATAATAAAAGATAAACATACACACAAATACATATACATCTGTCCATAAATATACAAATAGGAATGGTAGAACTAGCATAACGTTTTGTCCTTGCTTTGAATAATGTCAAATTACTGCGCTTCCTAAGTGGACCAAGTTTTTTCACCCCTGGTTGGTGGAAAAAGATCATGGAGAGGATGAGGAAGTAGTAGTAAGCCAAATTAGAAAACACTATGAATGTCAATTCTATAATAGAAATAAAAATTTTATGAATTTTTTTTATATAGAAAACATAGATTGCTGACCAGGACAAAACAAAGCACATAAAAAAAAAATAAAAATAAAAATAAATGCGTATAAAAGCAGTTTTCGACATTTTTTTGACTCGAAGGTAGTGGTGGGCGATATGAGCTCAAATTCATATCACGATATTTTACACTGTCCAGGCGATATCGATATTATATTTCGATATGAAAAAAATTACAGGCTAAATATTTTAGCTTTATATAATGTGAACAATCGAATCACTCCCCGAGACGACTCGTTCTTCCCGGGTCACATTAAAGATTCGTTCAAAACGAACGAATCGTTCAAGAACGACCCAACACTACGTTGCACACAGAGCACAAAAACGTTCAGCCTCGACTCCTTATCGTCATTTGTGTTAAAATTTGCAAAGCGTACCAAATTGAACAAAACAATATAAATGCAAAATTTGAATTCATGAATATATAACGGTATTCACGGTATAGCCAAATCCATATCATGAAACAACATAATACCGGTAGTCACTTTCATACCGGTATAGCGCCCAGCCCTACTCAAAGGCCCATTGTTACCCAACAAAATGTTTGATATATCCCACATACACTAAGATAATTGTGGCACTCCTGTTTTAATGAGGGCAAAGCAGCTTGTTCCTTTTTAGGTCTTAATAGGCCTTTATTAAATAACAGTCAAGTAATTTTATATAATTAACAATGATTAATTTCATAATTCCAGAAGTTATGTTCTATATTACAGAAATCTAGCGCAAGCGTTAGTTCAGGCAGGCCACATAGGCAGAGTTCCACAACAGCTGACCATCAGCTGTTCAGATCTCTCCAATCCCAGCAACTCTCCTATCTCAGGTACGTGTGTGTATATATATATACACACACGAGGCACTATCACTCACCTCCAGCTTAGTCAAGCTCACATTCAACCCTCCCTCCCACCCTCCTAATCAGTACACTTTTCCATATATTATGTCCTGCACCTTGGCCGTTCGTAGTTTTTCTTTTCTTCTGTTTCAGATCGCCACAACAGGACAAGCTTCCCAAGCAGGCCTACTTTCATTATATTTATGTCATGCTGATGGTTCCGGGGGGTCATTACAGGCAGCTAATATTTTTATATTGTTTTTGCTGAACCCCCCATACGGAACCATACCGCCAAACCAAATATTGTGTGTAATCAATAAACTATGTTTTACTGCCAGAGTGGTCCTGACTGAACTGTACGTTCTTTATTAAAAACAATACTTACTGAGGGAAAATAAAAAGATCTTGATTTTGTGTATTTGCAGAGACCCCTAGTTTTTCCCTAGCTCCCTGCTTGAGAACCACTGGTGTCAATACTTACACTTTCCGATCATTCAGAAGCATGCCGTTCATGGTCTCAATGGCTCTGTTGGCTGCTTCTTGAGTCTCAAAGTGCACAAACCCGTAACCTTTTGAGCCATTCTCATCACAAACCACCTAAGATGAAAAACGCATTAGTTACATTGTTTGTAGTCTCAGCATCAGACGTCACGCCACCATCAGTCTGAAGGTCTGGCAACGCGAGACTACATTGTTTGTAAATTATTTCAGTCAACTTACAGATAAAGCTGCCTTTAATAATCATTTAAAAAACACCGTAATGAAAAAGGATGTACCTTACATGACAAGATGTTACCAAAGGCAGAAAAGGTGTCATAGAGAGCCTTGTTGTCAATAGACTCATCCATGTTCTTGATGAAGATGTTTCCCACACCAGACTTTCTCAGACCTGGATCTCGCTGTGACCACATGATCCTGATTGGACGACCCTTGATGACTTCATAGTTCATGGTGTCAAGGGCACATTCCGCTTTAATGTGGAGAAAAGTGAGGTTTACTATTTAGAGAAGTGCTTGAATCACTAAAAGTGGTGATTAGTTTGGGTAATTCATTATTATTAATGCATTTCATCTGAAATACACTAAATTCAAATCACAGTTCTTGATTCCTAAATTCCAGAACCGAGCTGCAATTAAAGAGCATTCTCAATTCAATTCGCAACACCCTAGTAAGAGTGTGCTCACCATCAGCAGGCTGCTGGAAGTTGATGTAAGCATATCCGAGGGATCTCCGTGTAATGACATCCCGGCACACACGGATGGACATGATCTGACCAGCAGGAGAAAACTTCTGGTACAGCATGGCCTCAGTGACATCAGGATGAAGGTCACCGACATAGAGAGAGGCTAACGGGTATGCTGGTCCACTGCTATTCATCCTTCAGACGCACTCTGCAAAAGAGCACCTTATGATCAGAAAAACGTTATTCTTTTGTCGCCACTTTTAATTAACAAATTTGGTAACACTTTAACAATGAGGAAATCACTTGTTACATTTTTTCTAATTGATAAAAGTACAACTGTTAATTGTTAGTCCACGTCCATTAAATAAAATTAACAGATACAACTTTTGATTTTAATAATGCATTAGTAAACGATGAAATTAACTATAACTAAATACTTTGGAAGTATTTTTCATTGTTGTTGCTTGTTAACTAATGTAATTCACCATGTTAACAAATGGAATCTTACTGTGAAATGTTAGGAAACAATTGTAAGATTGGTAGGAGCACAAGTACACTAGGATTACTTTTTCAGTTAAAATTATTAAAACGCGAAAAAGAACAAAACATGATTTGATGCTCCGTGTTCAGTTTCACTTGGGTTATTTATATAGGCCTATATGAAAAGACCATATCTGCGGATCCTTCGCCAGCAACTGTGGCTGATGGGCAAAAAGTAAAAATAGCTAACTTAAAAGTTCATTATTAAAACAAGAACCCCTCTGAGGAAACAATGTTAGTTACAGTTACCTGGTGTAATGTGGAGCACAGAAGCATATCCTTCAGTGTAGCTGCAAGCGGGCTCCATCCCGTTGGGACTGTTTTTGTGTGACTTTAATTATTACCGAGGAACACCTGTCATTTGTAGCGCGCTCCATTGTGTATCAATTAAAATCCATCTGTGAGAAGAACTGCCTTTCCGTGTTGTTCCGCGAAAGAAAATAGTTCCTGCATGTGAACTCCCACTGTCCATAGATTATTTAAATTACTAGCTATGTACGATAAAAATTCAAATACGGCGAACAAGGATGTTGTTATTGTGCTGTAGTAGTCTACGTTCAATATCGCAATATCGATATACAGTAGTCAACATTTGAAACTATTGGTGGTCTTCTAAATTTGAAGCCTAGTGGTGAAAAAGTGTAATGCTGGGTGAAAATGCAGGCATCATGCAGCAGTAGCATCATGTTGACAGTATTCCACACACATCATATAAACAAGTGTAGGTAACAAAATAAATAAATAATAAATTTAAACATACTAAACACAAAACACATAATATACACACTATATAAACAATATGCAGGGTGAGAAAAACAGGAAGTGCAAATGGAGTGTCAGTGAACAGTGTACTGTGATGAAATGTGTGTATGCAACATATCCTCCTGAGACCCAGCTATGGAGTTTTTGCCTCTGTAGTGGACATTATATTTTAGTGAATTTCTCTGAGACCTCACATGTCACAGTTTTAAGTCGTTTCACCTTGACCACTCCCTCTTCTTGGTTTTTAAAAATGGCTGACATTAATTTAGTGATTAAATTGTTCATCCTTGTGGAAATATGATAATATTTTGTAATTATAATTTAAATCTGATTAATTTTCAAATTGTTTGTCATAAATCAACATC